CAACACCGTAGGCCGGAAAACCGGCCAAGACGTCACCAGTCCCCAGACACCGTAGGCCGGAAAACCGGCCAGGCAGTAGTCGCATCAAAATGATATATAATTTTAGGAACCTAACTAACATATGATTCATTTATCAAATCTATCACTTTTCATAATGCCTGAAAACACTTATTACATTTCAAATGGCCATATATAATCGACAGAATTAGAATTATAAACTATTTTTCGCAATGTTATTGAAAAAAACGATTCTTGGACACATGCTTCGGCAACGGGTCCACATCAGAGTTGTCAAAGAGCAAAGTAACGATGTTTCGAGATAATAATTACACAAATTGAATAAACGGAAGAATAAAATCAACAACAGTACTCATACAAGTTGTCAAATGTACGTTACAACTTACTATTTCCATCTTTTTTGTGCGATCGTGTAATGTAATTCAAGTGACATCTAGGCTTTCGTCGCTTCGAACTTTACGCTCGGACACGATGTTTAATGCTAAAATATATGCATTAAACTTTCTTGCACTGGTCATAATCTAGCACGATACGTCCACTAAGTTCCATAATATACGCATAGGTGGTGAATTTTTGCATAACACGTTCAGAATAGCATGATTTTACCCAAAACATTCATCTGAACCTTCAGGTTATCGTTTACGGCGACAGTATCCATGCTGTTATTTGATTGGCTGCCATAGGTCACGTGTCTGATTTTGACCAATCACGTTCCTTATAGCAGACTGAGGCAAATAAGCGTCATTAGAAACCAATCTTTATCCAATAAAATCGCTTCTTACAACTGTGAAAATACTCTTGGCAAGGGTACAGTGAGATTTTGTGGATGTTCAGAGCTTTCGAACGATACCCGCCATCAAACGAATCGCCTCACATGTTATTCATACGAAGCTTCGAAAACGGAGGTATTTCACGCTGTTGTATCACGTTACCGAGCGGAAAGCCACAGATATCGGGAAATAGACGACCATAAATATTAATTTAGAAATCTTTTTATAATAACTTTCCGATTACGTAAAAATGAAAATATAAAAGAAAAAGGTAAGGGGATATTATGACATGTTACAAATGGAAAAAAAGTGCCTCATTTTTTGCTTCCTTCATGGTTTATCTGGACATATAAATGTGTAAGCTTGCATTTTCATTAAAAATTAACTTATTTAAGTTGTAGTCGTATTACTTGAATAATATGATAAAAAATAACTTTCATATTTATAAACAGTAGGATTAGACCTTTCAAATGGTGTATGATATGTAGTAGTAATAATGATTATGAGCTGATATTTTCATTAAACATAGATAAACATAGGCTTCCTCTATGACCTCAGAGTCTCAAAAGTGGGAAACATCGAAAGGTCTGTCATGGCAGTAACCGCCATGGGTATTGAAATAATTCTGGTTGACTGATGTCATGAAAGGGAGTTAGAAGTAGAAATACAATATAGTATATAGCCAAGTCCCTGAACTACTATATCTCAATATTGTAAATGAGAATACAACAGAATGATTAAAAGGTTTGTATTTTCATTATCTGTATTTGTACAAAGGTTTCGGAAAGAAACAACGGACATTACTTGCTGTTGTGCATCACTGCGATAAGTTATAGGAAAATATGATTCTGTCCAAGCTGTTTGTTGTGTTTATAGACTCAAAACATAGCGACAGAGTTTTTGTAGATATAGACAGACATATCTACTGGTATGTCTTCCATGCGGATGATGGAATTGATGGATCTCTTGTCTCCAGCACCACTTCAGTTCCTACAACTCGGACCCTAGTCCAGAGTTTGGTCGTTTCACGTATGGTGTTTGCCTGATGTCCGAGAATAGCCCTCCTCTTTTTCATCAGACCACTGTAGCCTGTTCCCTTCAACAACACCCTGGACTCATAGACTGCCTATCTGTCGCTTATCTGGAGGAAGGTGGCAATTATCCTGCGAGGGGCAGAGGAACGGTGTTCCCTTTGATCTTTGGACTTGGCTAGACGGTGCGCAACTTCGAAATAGATATCATTAACTCTTTGCTCACTGAAGTTAAGACATTGTACAAAAAAGTTTCTCAACACCGGCTTAGCATTTTCCTCTGGTTCCTCTGGAATACCGTAAAATAGCAGATTGGTTCTCCTATCATGGATGTATTTAAGCACAACTTGTTTTTCCAAAGCCTCATAAGCCTGCTTATATGTTCTGAGTTCACCTCGTAGGTCCCTGATTTCGTCCGTGTGTACTGACACCACATGGTCAGTTGTGGCTATTTGACCTTTCATCTCTGTCAATTCAATTTTTATAGAGTCCATTGAAGCCTGCAGTTCTGATTTAGTGTCTTTAATGAACTCAGCCAACCTTTTTTCCGATGCTTGTACGACCTCCTCCATTGTTGAATTCGAGCGTGTGTGTCATTGGTCTGGCATGGTACACGTGTAGAGCAAAAGTCCAATAATGTTAAAAAATTGCAGGGTTGTTTTCTCTCACAGGATAATTTATATATATATATATGTGATATTAGTAGACCGATAATTTATTCATAGGCGAATTTTTGTAGTAGAATTACATAGAAAGGTTCCATGGGTTGCGGAGACGATATGTCTCACGTCCGACCTTGTCGCATGCGCAACCAGAAGTCAAGGATGTTGATCTTCCCTGGGATGTGTCTGGCAATCAAGGCTGTCCACTAGGTTGTAACATTCCATGAGGACTTGAAAATAGGTACCTTGGAATCTGTTGATATAGGCAACTACCGTGGCTTGTCTGAGGCAACTAGTAGTGAGAAATTCATGAGGATTAATGCCCAGCATGTTAAGGTTTATAAGACTTTTCAAAGATGTTGACATGGACTGGTGACTCCGAAAGACCTAATTCCGTCTTGTCTTCCAGATGAACTCCCCATCGTGAGAGTGAAGCATCCATGAATAGTTGACAATCTGGCATCTATATCCTGATTGGAGTCCCATGTATGACATTATTGGGGTTTCACCAAGGTCCTTGAACACTAGATCTGTAGGTATTATGACAGAGTCTAGCTGTTTCCCTAGATGTTGATTGATCCAATTCTTAATGAATCTGAGATGCAGATGGCATCTGAATGTTAGTTCCTGCATAGATGTGAGTGCCCCTAATAGTGACATCCATTGCTATAGAGAGTGCAGAGGTATCTGGAACTCTGATTTCCTGGTTGTGCTATCATGATAGCGTTCCAACGGTGGGGGTAAATGATACCTTGTTGAGTGTCGAATATGGCCCAAATCTACTTCTGTACTTTCTTGGACTGAAGGTCTGATTTTTCTGGATGCACTAGGAACCAAAAATTCCCGAAGAAACCTCTCAGACATAGGGAGTTGTCTACTGGGGTTGTTACCATTGTGAATAGCCATGGAGCCACTGATATTCTGAGTGGTGGAACTCTGAACTGAAACAGTCTCCAGTTGACAGCAAAGCGTAGATGTCTTTAGAGTCTGGATGGATAGGTACATGTTTATGTGTGTCCTGTAGATCTATGGAAATCATGGAGTCTCCTATGAAGATTGGGTAGTCGACTCAGGTATTCACACTTAAGGATATTCAGATCGATGATCATTGATGAGTTCGGTTGCATCATTCTTGGGAACCAGAAGTACTGGAAAGAAGAACCCTAGCCTAGTTCAAGACCACAACAGCTTTCTTGAGAACTTGTCTATTGTTGTCATCGCTGCTGAAATATGGGGATCCCGAAGCTGATAGCAATGCCCCACTGGACATGTCATCACGGGAGTTTCTTTGCAAACTGAAGACAGTATTCCTATTTGATGACCTTGAGGATTCACTGGTCGGTTGTTATGATCTTCCAATTTTCTAAACAAGGTGACAAACGGATGTCCCCTGCAAACTGGCATACCTCCAGCAGAGTGCTGGCATATGTGGTCCTTGGTCCTTGGTACTGCTGTCAGAGAGAATGTTTTGGAAGTCAACTTGATTCAGGTCAGGGCTAGAAGTTAGGGCACTGTGAAACTTCCTGTTATCTTCCGACTTCAGGCTTCCTCACACTTGCCATTGAACAGCTGATTGTCAAATGGTTAACTGAGTGAGTTTAGTTTTATGCCCACTCAGCAATATTCCAGCTACATGGCGGCGGTCTTTAAATAATCGAGTCTGGACCAGACAATCCAGTGATCAACAGCATGAGCATCGATCTGCGCAATTGGGAACCGATGACATGTGTCAACCAAGCCAGCGAGCCTGACCACCCGATCCCGTTAGTCAAATGGTTAAGAGTACAACATGTTCAGCATTTCTGCCAATACTGCCAAGCATAGTTGATGTAGGTGTTGACCCCATCATAAGAGAGTAAACTGGGCCGTGATGTTAGCTAACTAGGCTTCAAAGTTGAGCATGGCATTATCAAAGATGAAGGGTATTCACCTGCACCAGCCTCAGTCGTAGGAAGGAGCATTTTTCTAATGCCAGAAATACACCAGTGGTTGCGTTACTGTATATTGTTTATCAGACAAATGGAATTCATTAAAATAGCGAATTCTTTTGTCCTTAATAGTTAGGTGCACTGGGACTTTAACAACAAACCCTTGGAAATACTTGTGATTTCAAGAGTAAAACTGTTGTTGGAAGCATACAAGTCTTTTCCCTGTAACGGTGAGCAGCCCAGTCTATCTGGATACTTCAATGATTTAATGGCTTTATTTAAGTCCACAAGTATCACCTGAAAAAACATGGGAACGTATTCATCAATTCCAAATGGTCAATTACATAAGACCATTGATACAATGACAATAGCATTAGAATACACACCACTACTGCAATAGTTCTGCAATAGTTTAGTTGATACCTTTGCTAAATATTTCATTGGCTTACTCAACATGACAGCTCAACATGTTCTTTCAAAATAAAGGAGGTACTGCTGACCATTGTCTGGTAATGTTTCAGAAACATTTTCTTGATACCAAACCAAAAGTATACATACAGAGAGCTACTGTAAGCATATGAAATCTCATACCTCAGTCTCTAGTTTTCCAACAGAAGCTCGTTCCTTCTCCAGTTCCGACATAACTGTCATATGTTCTGTCTTCAGACTGCCCATCTGTACACTGTATTGCATTGTTGCCTGTGTGAGTGCCTCTTCATTTAATTTCTGAAAAATAAGAAGAACTTGCCTCAGAAGTTGTAAAATGCAGTATTAAGAACATTTATCAGTTTGCTTAATATCAGCATTCAAATGTTGAGAGCTGGTCACTGTTATCATCAGTTCAAAATTGTATTGCAACCAAAGCCTGAAGTACTGACAATCTGCACTGCTTAACACGACTTGTTTTACTTTTTGCTCAGTAAGAGAAATATTTATTTGGAAATAAGCAAATTACCTTTTGATGTCTTTCAGTGGCATTTAGAAGTTGTACATTGATGTCCAAGATATTTTTATGGATTAAACTTCTTTGTTAATTTCTCTCACGACGTTTGAGACCATTCCAGGTCCCTTCATCAGGTGAACTGATGAAGGGACCTGGAATGGTCTCAAACGTCGTGAGAGAAATTAACAAAGAAGTTTAATCCATAAAAATATCTTGGAAATTACCTTTTGTTTGGAAATATATTCCAATACTTACAATTGCTAATATCTAAAAAAAAACTCGGCCTCAATCACATTTATGTCATAAATCTTGTATTTTGACTGTCATCATACTTAAAGATTATCCACAGAAGTCCTTGTTACTGTTATATAGGCTATGTGCAACAACCTGGGTGTATACAAATGGAATGGGACTGTCAATGCCTGAATGTCTCTATAGTATGAAGAAGGTGGTAACATGTTTGTGACTCCAACCTCCACTTCTTGTCCTCTGTGCCACTGGCAGAACTCATTGTAACTGTTGTTGTAGATGGTGTCCAAGATCTAGGAATTGCCACTGAAGTTGTATGTTTTGTGTGATTATTTCAAAGTGTGATGATTTAGTGTGTTTAAGTGGCCATTAATCATGTCTTATGTGGGCTGGTTTTGGAGTAGGACATTTTAGTCAATTTTCATCAGAACTCTAAGAAAGACCAAAGCAGTAAGGCATACACAAAAAACCCTATACAAATCAATGGGCATCATGTTTACTTAAAGTGATTGGGGTCTGGATTTGGACTGATGTTCCCTGGAATGTTGTTAGTGAAACTTGCTGACAAGTCTCACTGAAGAGTGTCCAAGATTGATGTTATCCAAAGAAATACCCCTTAAGGTGAAGAGGGCATTCTGTAGTCACATCTGGCCTGCATCAAATCTAGTCCGAAAAGACAAACAAATGTGTAGTAACCCTGATAAAAATATATAAATCTGGACATAAGTCACCACTCTAGTATTGTCAGAAAGGTCATAAAGTAGATCTATGGATAAGTATCTATGCATTGAGAGCTGAGACAATAATAGATCTCAAGAAAAAATGTGAAGAGATCCTTCCAGAAGGTTGCCTGAAGTGTAACTATAACCTGGCCACGAAACCCATCCATGAAACAATGGTGTTAGGGTGGTAATATGCAATTGCAATGCAATTGGCATGAAAATACTTGGATATCCAACCTTGATGACCAGATTGAGTTTAATCAGAGATTAAGTGAAGACTTCCGTAAAATCATGTCTTGTAGTCAAATGGTAGGCATAGTTTCTCTGCAGACTGCTTATTGCAATAATGCAAAAACAACTGACTCCTGTGTATGAAGGGTTTGCAAGATGGTCAATGTCTCCCTGTAACCTCCTTTGCATCCAACTGACTGTGCTGAGTTTGCTTTTGAATAATTCAATGTCATGAATCTCCAGAATTAGTATTCAATACATCTTGTCTGTGATAAATTGCAAAAAATGAGATCATGTGGTCAGCTCATGTCAATCACTGGGTTGTATGATTATTTGCTGACCTCCATCATGCAGGTGGAATCTTGTTTAGTGATAAACAACAATAAAAAAAATGCTGAGCTATAACAACCCTTCTTGTTAGTTCATTAACTACCTTTGTCTGTACTTGGATAAGAATTATGGGAATGAATTAGCTTGTCATCTATATCTGACGAGTAATTCTTCCTGCATTTCACAACCTCTTAACCTCCAAAGAAGAAGTGTCAAAGTTCGTATTCAGATTTGGGAGGCAAACCAAAATCTAAGTTTTCTTCCTCCTTCTGATGTTAGACTGAGTCTCAGTTGATCAGTTGGGGTCCAGGGGCCCGTTTCACAAAGCCCTCTTACCGGTACGACCTCGTAAAGCAGGTCGTAGACCACCTCTTATTTTTTTTACCCCGCTTCACAAAGACCTCTTATATTTACACTGTGCCGTAAACAGCCCAAAATTTAGGACCCCGATTGACCTGTCGTAATTGCTTTAGGAGGTCATAAACACTAGAAAGATGGCGTCAACGATTATGGCACTGCAAGTGATTAAAACGCGCTAACAAAGAAGACCTGAGAAATTTTGAGACTAATATTGCAGTTCCATATGAACAAGTTAATGGACAGCGATTTAATTCAAACCTTGTAAGTAAAACTGATAAAATTAATGGAAATGATTTATACATTTTATCTTGTAATTTTCAATGGAATTTAGTGAGAGAATCCAAAATAATTTATTTATTGATATTTTTTTTACGATAAGATAACCTGTACATTGAACTTAAAACATAACATTTGCATTGTTATTCAAACTGTATTTCTATTTTGAAATACTTTGGGAATAACAAGATAAGCAGGTTCCCGTTCGGTCTCGCTTTATGCGTTGCTATACAACAAAGTACCTCTTATACAATGTACGACATGGATTTAGGACCGCGTCGTACGACATGGATATGACGTCTGTGTGAAATGGTCGTAAAGGAGGTCGGAAGAGGGTCGTAAACAAGGTTGCATGGTCTACGACCTCCTAAATTTAGGAGGCTTTTGTGAAACGCGGGCCAGGAATACAGCTTTGATCTATAAGGTAACAAGGTGACATGCATGGCAATTAAAGTTAGGCAAACAGTGTCCAATGGTACTCCCTCTGGTGACTGCCCAAGCTTAAGGATTTGTTGTTATCATTGAGTCCTATTTTGCAATGTTGAAATAACAGGATGCTTCTTAGTGCATGCAGACCCATAAATGGTTCATCACCACAGTGTAGAAAGGCTGTTGTAACCAGTTTCAGGCCTACCAAAGAAAACTTTCCCACTGGGCAGAAAAACACAGAAAAGTCCACATTATTCGTGGAAATAGCAACATTAACATATTACCTCGCTAGTGAAATTGTAAAAACGGCAACGAAAGACTATGAAACTGCAACATTTTTATATCAGCGAATTTTGACCTCTACTGCACATGCATGTTACGATCTGACCCGGAAAACTATTTCCGAGCAACCTTGAATCGCCTTGCGTAGAAAAAGTATTGAATATGTCAGAATAATTGCTATCAATCATTTCATACAGATGGAAAGTTAAATAAACCAGTGAGCACACAAGTATCATGATGGTAAATTCTAGTAATCCCAGACAACTGACAGCATTGAATCAGTAATTTGATAAAAGGGATAGTAAAATGCAGAATACCAGATATTTTCGTTAGAAAACTGATGATCCAGGTCACTTCCACATCACTTCACTGTCAAAATCCCCTCGATTCCTGTATTTCATAATAAAATACTTGTTTCAAATATTTCATAATAGTACTTGACAAACAAACATTTCTCATAGCCAATCTCAGGCTTTCCCAAGGAGGATTATGTCATATCATTTATAATTCTTGTTGATTTGTTTTCATTTGTTTGATGATATATATTTCTTATTCTCTAAAAATATTTGCTAATTACATATTAATTTATATAGTATTTTGGGTCATTATATCATCAAGCAATAAAATGTATCATGTTGTTAATTATTTCTTGTCTTTAATCTTATTTGCCCATTAATATGTAAAGTGAGGGGCTTTTGGTCATTTTTCGAGGGTCTTTTGTACCAAGGGGCTTTTGATCTAGACCCTTTTTGGAAAGTCTGTAATCATAGTCACAGGTAAATCCAGGTTGATGGGGTTTGCAGTACGCTGGATAGGCATAAATAATTGTGACCGCCCCAGCCCCTCAGATTGGGTCTCTTCTGCTATGGCACTGTTGAAACCTGCTGTTCTGCTTATCATAGGGAACATGACATAAGACTTTATGCTTTCAGCCTGAAGCAGTAAGACTGAGTCTCACAATCTACTGCCTCCTTTGAATGGGGTGGGGTGGGATAGCAGAGCCAGATTCCGGAAACATGTACACACTTATTTCCTGTGTTCCAGCACTGTGAAAATGCCATGGATTGCTCTTATGTACCCTCATGCCCTGACTTTACTCATGGATTAATCCTTAGAACAAGGTTTCTTGGTTTTAATCCTCCAACTTTAGGAGTAAGATGATTATGGCGTAAAATGGTTCTGAGCTTCAAGTAATCTTCCACTTCCTGCTCAGTAACAGAAATGCACAGAAAACATCTTGAATCCATAGTGCACATGATAGCCTGGCACTTGAAGCAGATAGTTAGGGATCCATAGGATTCTGATGAGTTCCACAATTCACAGAGTAATGGAACCCATTCTCAAACACTAAACACAAACTCCATTTTTTAATGAAAGATTGTGCAAGATGATGTTTACCTTATGGATCTTAAATTAAACTTTAAAACCTTCATAATCAATCACAGAATATTATTTTTAATGAAAAATAGTCCTTGTTATGCCAAGCTCACACAGAAAAGAAGTGATGAATTCCTGCTTGTGCTTGCATCCAGAGCAACTTCAATCTAAGAAAGATGACACTGAACAAGACGCCTGTTGAAAAATCTAGAGAGTTTTTATGGTGCAAGTTAATTATGGCTATAATGTAATAGAAGTAAGAAATCAGATCTTGACTCACACCTGGCCCTCTTGGCTGAAAGATCCTACAAGGTATGCAAGGATGACTTTTTCTTCTCCATTGGTTAGGTCTGACGAGATGTCTGTATACTATAGTATACTCTGTCAAATCTTAAGACACAATGGCAGTCTGTTCGGTATCGGAGCAGATGTTTTGTTTTGTCTTCTGCATAGAAGTGATATAGAATCAGGAAACAATCACAGATAGGATGCTTCTTGGTCCATTGTAAACCCATTGCATTTTTATC